GTGTTTCTAAAGGAAAGGCCAGGTGGGGAGGGGGGTGGGGGAGATGCCAAGGTGGGGGTGCCCCAGGAGGGAGGGGAGGGGGCCAGGGTGGCTTTGTGATGGAGCCGGTGTCTGAGTGAAAGCCTCCAGGTGGGGCGGGTCCAAGGTCGGGGGAAGGTCCCTGTCTTGCAGGAGCTGCCCCAGCATGGGCGAGGGGAGGGACAGGTGTGTGCCTGGACTTCCCTGTGGAATTCGCCCCAGGGGCTGCGAGGGAGACCAGGGACTTGTTTGTATTCTCCTCTCCAGTGCTGAGATCAGGGACCCGGTATTTTGCACTTTTCTGGGGCCCTTTATATTTTTGTTTTTATTAATTTTTAAAGAGTGCAAAGGAAGTTTGACTGGAGAGGTCATGGGGATAAATCCTGAAAGCTTTGAACGCCAGATGTAGACTTTGGGCTTGACCCTGCGTCGTTGGGAGCCACCGATGGTTCTGGAGGAGGAGCATGGGTGATCGGAGTCCTGCTCCAGAGCAGTTGCCGCGGTGTCGAGGAAGGGGAAGGTGTGGCGTGGGGTGTGGGCTTCCACCCGTGCCACTGGGCGGAGAGTTGTACGTGGACAGAGGACCTCATGAGAACATGGGTGCAACTGACCCAGTTTTAATGGGATGAAAAATGTCCAGACCCCACGCAATTTGAGTGTTGCAGTTTGTGTCTACGGAGGCCCCGGTTCCATATCTGTACCTCTGGAAGGGGAGCTAAGGAAGGGCAGACTCAGACGCCTGATTCGGGCACCCACAGGGGATGCAGTGAGGAGTTTGAAAACTGGAAGAGCACCGTCAGATACACATATTTAGAAGCAGGTTCCAGTGCCCTCGCTTGGCCAGGCCGTAGTCCCTGCATCCAGACTGTTACTCAGTAGGGCATTTCTCTCCGGTCTGTGGGTTGGGACTTTGCAAGGACCTCACGCGCCGCTCAGCGGAAGCTGCAGAGGTCGGGGGCGAACGTGCAGCTCAGCCCGTCCTGGGCAGAGCGCAGAGGCTCCCGGCCACGTTGCCTGGCGCCGAGGAGGCTGTTTTTTCCACAGTGGTTCATCCTTGGGCACCACTGCCCTCTTTTGTTCAAATTTCTCCTCCCTCCCAGCCTTTCCCTCTGCGGTGGAGACGGGAAGGAAGCCTGGCCGTGCAGCCTGAGAATCGCAGAACCAGGTGGGTCAGCACGGATCAGCCGCGTCTCCCCTCCCTGTGACCCTGAGGACCTCGTAGCTGGGACAGGAGGGTCAGCTAACCCAGGCCACGCAGAGGGCTCTCCCACCCCTGTGTGTGTCCCTTCTCCCACCCTGCACCTGGAATAGAGGCTGGAGCTGCGGTGGTGCCCCCGTAGCTGGGTGGTCTGGAGCCCTCACGCCCCTCCAGGGCAAAGAGCAAGGAGCCCCCCACCCGCTTCCTGGGGTGTGGGAGCTCGGGGCCACCCAGGAGGCTGGGAATGGAATGGAAGAGGCTGGTTCTTAGGAAGATGGGCTCCCCACATCACCCTGGGGAGTTTGTACCTTCCAGACCCAAGACTGAAGTTGAAGGTGCCTTTCTTTCCTTCAAGTCTAGAGATGTCATTTGAGGGTATCACTCCCAGGACCAGGCTCCTTTCTCCTTCGCTTCTGCGCTGCTGATACACATGAATACCTTTTCTTAATTAGATGGAGAAATAATTAAATTGAAGCCACTGCTAAACATACCTGCTGGGTAGCAGGGCTGCAGGACAGAGCTTGCACAACTTCCTGACCCAGCTATTTGACCTTGGGCTAATCTTTTAACCTCCTAGGACGGCCTCAGTTCCTTCAGGATAAAATTGAGGTGGGGCCTAAATGTTTTCCAAGATCCAGAAATAAAAATATACTCTTTAAGTGGTATTTTCTGGGAGAGTCAGTATTGCAGTACTATTCACCAAATGCAACCATTCGTAAGGAAAAAAAAAAAAAATATATATATATATCTTAATTTGAGAAGAGAGTGGCTTTTCTCAGAGATGGCATGTTGAGAAATGAGGGTGGTTCACTGCTGATAAGAGTCTCCATCTTCCTTTATTCCCTGAATATTCTAAAACCTGGATTGGAATGTGACTCCCGGCTGTTCTGTAGGACTGGAACAAGGGCTTTCTCCAAGGAGCAGGCTCTCGAGCTGGATGCAGTGTTTTACAGAAAGCTGGCACTAGGATGTGTGTCAGCCAGTGTTTTATTGACTCCTTCGTGTTTGGCCCTGGAGATAGAGGAGATAGTAGTTAATATTCATTAAGCATTTGCCTGATCTTCAGGGCTGTGCATGGATAATGGATGCAGTTCTCACACAGCCCCATAGTACAGGTATGTGTGACCATCCCCAGGTGACAGAGAAGGAGCGTGAAGCAGAGAGCAGTGATGTCTAGGTCCACGCATGGTAAACGTTGAAGCCTGGCTTTGAAGCCAGAGGCCTGCAGAGACTGATGGATTCCATGACCTTGATGAGGCTGCAGTCTTGGGGGCAGGGGACAGGATGCTAAGACATTAACAGATCGTTTTAACAGTGAGTCCATGAGAGGGCACCTCATTCAGCCCAGGGACGGGGGCTAAAGAGTTTGCTGGGGCAGATGATGCTGGGCTGGCCCTTGAAGAGTGAGTCAGAGTTAGCCAGACAAATTAGAGGGTCAAGGCCACACACGGGGTTCTGGGGTAGACAGGGATCTTGAGCCAGCACAGTGGCACTGAGCTCCCCTGGGCAGCTTTGCACTAGGGTGTTGGGGGCGGGGTGTGGTCTCTGAGAGCTATTCAAACCAAGTTTCCTGGGTGTGACATAGTTGCTTTCATTACTAGTATCTTCTGGAAGCTTCCATCAGTGCGTTTTCATTTTCATTGTTTCATTTGTTGGTGGAGGAGAGAGAGTTTAGGGAAAGATCAGGGAACCACCTGTAGCAACCATTGTTTTCACACTTCAGCTACATTATTCTGTCTTCAGTGACCGGCAACAGCTTGAAGCCTGTGGACTAGAAGTCAGCTCAAGTGCAGGATGTGGCCACAGCGCAGGCTTTGGTGACTTCTACCCGAACAGCTCTGCAGGCTGTTCTGCAGGTTGGACCAAGAGGGAGGGCTTGCAGGTGCTGAAAGTGGATGTTGACGGTCTTGCAGTGGGGGTGTTGTCCGGACAGGGTTGTGTCTGTGCTAGGAGTGTGCACAGCTTTACAGCATTGTGTTCCTAGGGTTGTTTTAGGCTTCCAAAGAGCCACTTGTCAAGCAGTCCTTTGGACCAGGGCACATGTGGTGTTGGGTGGGTGACATATTAAGGTCCTCTGGAGGGAGAGGAGTTGCACAGAACGCATCAAACTGGAATGTCTCTCAGACGTCCCCTGAACTCCTGCTAGCCGTGCGGACAGCTGGGACCCCGTCCTTCCATAGAGCGCCTTGGAATCCAGGAAGTGTTCCTGGCCAGTGCCCTGCTGGGCTGCAGGAGTCCTCCCTCTCCACCCGCCCTCCTCCACCACGTGGTCTGCAGGCTCCCTGCGTTCCAGGACAGACCCTTAGGTTTCTGCACCACTTCCTGCCCCCCACTTCCCTTTCTGTTTGTGGGTGGCGGGAAGGGTTCCCCTTCACAGAAATGCACAGATCTCTGTGTTAGGGGGGCTCTTTTTCCTCAGGTTCAAACATTCTCTTAAATAGGTGTGTGCTGAGCTGGCATCGATGCGAGTACTCTTTAACTTGCTTGGGCTGCTGCGTTGGTTCCGCTGGTGTCTCTAGCGCGTTCTGGCTCAGACACCTGCTGCACCTCCCACTGCTGGAGTAACCTGCCAGCCCCCCGCTTGAGCGTTCCGGGTTCCTCCTCACCTGGCTCCAGCCTGTCTTTCCAGGGCCGATCGCAAAACCGCCACCGACTTACGCTCTCCCAGCCTCTCCATGTGCCACATTCCCAACGATCCCTGAAGGCTCAGCACAAGTGTTGCCTTTTTCTTTGAGCTGTGGGATTTCCTTGAGCTGATGTGGGTGACAGCAGAGATCTGCTCATCCGATGCTGGTACTTTACAGATGAGACGCAGAGCAAACAGGCGACAGAGTTAAAGACCCAGGGCCCAGGCCAGTCCGTCACGCCCAGCCTGGTGCCTTCTCTTTCTTCTCTTCTCGGGCAGAAGTGTTTTCTCTGCCAGGTGCTTCCATGCCAACTATTTTTTTTTCAGAACCCGTAATTGCATTTAAATCTCTGTAACCTAATTTTAGTGATTTACGTGACCGTCTTATTTCCTCTATTAAATTATAAGCTTTCCAAGGGTAGGAACTTACACATTTTTGCATTCCCTCAGTGCATATCATGCTCTCTCTGAATGAATTTTTGTTAAGTGATTGAATACCAGGCAGAGAAACCCGGTTCGAGAGGGAAACTGGGAGCAGACCACGAGCGAGGAGCTGTGAATTCTGCATCCCAGCATGATCTGAGCGAGGCCGAGACGCAGGTTCTCTGCGGAAGGGCAGGCCACAGAGCAGTGCACCGGGGGGGCTGTGAGAAGTCAGGTGGGAACGTTAGCCTGGGTTCCGGAGTGAGGCCGGTAGAACGCAGCCTGGCCGCGGAGAGGGAGTCCCTGAGAATCCCGCCGTGTAGACAGCAGGTAAGCGAGTTCCAGCCTCTGTGGGCTCGCTGCTGGGGGGCAGGTGGGCTGAGGCACTTGTGATGCACGGGCCGCAGGAGGTGCACGCCTTGCCCCGTGATGTCTGCGGTCCAGCAGCGGGAGATGGGTGAGCAGGGGCGGGGAGAACCGCGTCCGGGGAGGCCTGGCGAGCAAAAGGCAGTGGCAGCGGGGTGAGCGTGGGCAGTCTTTGCAGAGGTGGGCGCGTGGAGAAGAGGGCCCTGGGAGCTGGTGCAGAAGGGGCAGAGACTCCGGCTGAGCAGCGTCTGCTCAGAGGGTGCCGGGGAAACCGGGCTGGCGGGTGAACCCCCAGGAGCAGCAGAGGGAGCGGGGGGGCTCCTTCGCCCTTACGAGAGGGGCTCTTTCTAATGAAAGACTGGGAGGCTTTTGCCAAAGAAATGGCCAGACTTCCTGGGAAGAGTGTTTTCCAGGTAAAGGCACGAGGGCCAGACACTCTTACGGCTCTTCCCGTGTGGGCGTTGGGGGCGTGCCCCCGCTGAGCGTGCTGGGACGTGTGCGAGGGAGGATTCACAGGGATGAAGGTGCTCTCTGCCTCTGCAGGGGGCTGTACTCGTGTGCTCTCCTTCGGCCCGTGGAGCCAGGTGTGCACTCACAGGGGGCTTTGCCTTGGGAGGTTTGTACCTTGCAGAGACCCCGGGGCCTGGCTCTTGTTACGTGATGAAGAACACCAAGAAGCAACTGGTTGCATGGATTCATTTTTCTGACAGCCCGATTGCCACATTTCCCCAGGGCACCTCTTGATAGCACGTGTGCTGGAGCGCAGTAGTCTAGGGCAAGGGGACAGAAGGAGCTTCCAGAAGACTTTCAGAGTTTGGTGCCTCAGGATCTGAAATTTGTTAGCGGAAGAGCATGCATTTCCTCCTGATCCTTGGCAGGAGTCAGACCAACATAGTCCCTGGTATGCATGCGCTGGGGCCGGCTCTCTGCTCAGACATCACGGTTCCTTCGTGCTCCTTTATGTCTCGGCGAAGCGCTGGCCCTGGGCTGGTGGAGGGAGGCTGGCAGTGCGGAAGGTGGGGCCAGATGTAGTGGGAAAAAGAAAAGCAAAATGATATCTCTGTCTCTTCCGTTTTGCGACCCTGAGGAGCTGCCTGTGTTTCCCTGTATGTTCTCCCTCTGCTCCCGGCCATCTCGCTACCTCCCTCTTGGCATCGTGCGTTCGGGCAAAAGTGGCCACATATGAGAGTAAGATGTCTCGTTTATCCGAGGACAAAAGCAGGCAGGAAACCAGAGTCCGATGTGAGCAAACCGTAGGTAACGGGCAGGAACAAGGTCTGGAACCCAGGTAGAAGCATCTCTCCCCAGTCTGGCTCTGTCTTCACGTGGGCTTCGTGTCTCCGTGTCTCTGCGGCTGGGTCACTTCTCTTCTCGTAAGGACACTGGCCATATTGGATTAAGACCCCCCCCCTTGTTCATCTCATCTTCACTTGATTGCATCTGTAAGGACCACAGTCACAGGTACTGGGGCTTAGGGGTTCAACGTACCTTGTAGGGGACACCATCCAGCCCATTATATGTGCATATGCTTGGCCAGCCACAGAATGCCTAT